CGTGGTTAGGGGAGTGCATTGGCAATATAAATTTTGCGAAATACATCAAAATATTGGAGGAAGGACTCTTGTCACTTTATTCCTCGGGTTTCGTGGACAAGAACACAACATTGTTCCAGGAAGATGGAGCACCATGTCACACTGCTAGAAACACCCAAAAGTGGCAGGAAGACAATGGTTTCCAGAAGTTGCCCTGGCCGAGCCAATCTCCTGACATGAACCCCATCGAAAACCTCTGGGCCATACTCGACCGGCAAGTCAAGAAACAACCAAATAAACCAACTTCGAAGAGCGATCTACTCCAAGTTTTGAAGCAATAGTGGGGGAACATCCCACAATCTAAAATTGACGAGATGATTCTCACAATTCCCCAAAGGATCAACGAACTCCACGAAGCAAAAGGAAGATCTACTAGATATTAATTAAATTATAAATATATCAATTCATGTGAGTATGACTGAAAAATGTCATTTTTTTCTGAAAAGGTGGTGTCTATTTACTTGTGACCACGCTGTGTATGTTGTTGTTTTCTCATAAAAAAGTGCAAAATTAAAAAGTTGTTTGTGAGTCAACATATTTTACTCAAATTATATAATTGTTTTATGTTTATTAATTTGTTTAAAAAGAATCAGTTTAGTAAAATATTTTATTTATGTTATTATGGTGTTTCTTTTTAATAATTTTGTTTTTTGTCATATCGTAATATATATATCCTTCCAAAAAAGAAATGTAATTAAATTAGCTGAATTGATAAACCAAACTCTTAGAACTAGTAATTTAGAGGTTTAAACTGGAGTTAACATAATTTCTGTTTTTTAATTTTATAGTCAATGATGGTGACTATATTCAAGCTGTGTGTGATAGAAATCTAGCAGAAAACATTTCCAGGGTGTTATACCCTAATGATAATGTAAGTTATATATTTACTTTATCAGTTCCAGTGTGCTACTTTACCAGGAAAACAATAAACCTTTAACGAAGCATTATCTATAATCAGATTAAACTAGTTTTAAGAATTAAAAAGTGTAGTAAATTCACATCCAACCATGCTTATCACAGACTAGTAAAAAATGCATTTGTGTATACTTACAGTCCTTGAACAAGTAAACATTATATAGTTGTAATGGTTTTTTTTACTTAAAAAGATATAAGAAATTTCAGTTGGGGTTGAGTAAAACTGTCAGTCAATGTGTTTATATTTTTATTACAAAATATAATTTTGGGACAGTTTGAATGGTTAATGAAAGAAATTTTATTATAAATGTGCAACATTTTGATAAGTTCGTCATTATCATTGTTTCCTCGTCATCAATTTTTATTACAAGTACTCAGTATCAGTGCTTTATGGTACCAGATTTTAAGCATTGGTGTTAATTTTACCACTTAACTTACTATTGAAAAGTTTTTTTTTATTATTTGCTTTTGTGAAGTTGATCTGTAATTAACTACATCTTGCTAAGCATGAAAGAGAATGTAGGAAGCCAATCTCTCATTCAATTATTGTTGATACTCTGTGAGAAACAACTTGAGACTAGGATAGATATTAAAGACTTGTTTCACTTTATATGTTCGTTTTATTCCTCAGTTCTTTGAAGGAAAGGAGTTACGTCTAAAGCAAGAGTACTTCATGGTTGCTGCGACACTTCAAGATATTGTTCGCCGTTTCAAGTCTTCAAAGTTTGGAAGCAGAGACCCTGTTCGCACCTCCTTTGATAGATTCCCTGAAAAGGTATAGACTAATTTTTGTTTTTCATTTATATTTAAAAAGGTACAAATCAATTTTCTTTTGTGTTTGCAACACATTTCAAATACTTGTTTTGATTTAAGAATTTTATACCTTGTTTCTTTAAAATTCAATTATACAGTATTACATTTAGGTTTAACATAAATCCAGTCAAATACCATGATATAAGAGGGCCTTTGAATCAGAAACTTAACTTGCTAGAAAGCCTAAAGAAACCTTCTAAAGTTTTGAATGTTAAAAGTTTATCAAATAACTGAAGAAGAAATTATTTTATTTATTGGGTCTTTGACATAGTCGCAAGACATTTAATTGAGAAGGGGTTAAGAAGAGAATGCTATTGTACAGAGAAAACCTTTTATTTTTAATACTTATAACAATATTGTCATGTTCATTCATACTTATCTGATAACTGTGCATCTTGACAATAACCCTGAAGCCTAGTTTTCCATTGCAAAAAGCTCCATAATAGTAATTCTTGTTTTTGCTGGCCTAAAGCACACCACTCTTCACTACATACTTTCCATCAATAATCATCCTAGTGTACAAGAGTAATGGTACCCAGCACCCATTGACTATTATGTCTTTTTATGTAATAACATGAATATCCAATTTGTTTTCCAGTAGCTTGACAAATATGGAAGCAACTTGTATCCACACAACTTATGTCATTATTTCAAATAGAGAACCTTTTTGATTACATTACCTTCTATTGACTGGGACACATAGACAGGTTTTACCATTGACCTTTGCATTCATAAATTTTTATCTGTTACAAAATGCCATAGTTTATTTACAGTAGCTAGGGTATGACTTGCTGTGTTTTTCTTTCCTTTATTTTCCAATGCCATTAAGTACAGGGGTATTCTTGTCTTGGAAATTCTTAATCTCTCACCTGACCTCATCTGTATGATCCGAGTGTAAGAATGTTTTGCCTTGGATAGAGCTATTATATGTTCATCTAAAGGCGATCAATTTTTGGTGACATTCAGTAATTATGAAATGCCAAACAATATCAAAATTTAGTTTTGATACATTTCGTTCCTTCACGACTATTATATCAGCTGACTTGTTGATTTACATAACTTACTCAACAATCTCTATTCAGTTCCACTGATAACGTTTGTATTTAATTACAGGTGGCTATTCAGTTGAATGATACACATCCTGCCTTAGCCATCCCTGAACTAATGAGGATTCTAATAGATGTGGAAGGCCTGACCTGGGATAAGGTAATATTATAAAATATTTCCCTTGTAATTTTCAGAATTAAAAATATTTTTTTTTCAATGGAAGAAACAAAGTTTGTTTAGTTATTTTGGTTTAGTAATTTTTGATTTAATAAGGTTTCCATATGATCAAATCTAGTACACTTTGTGTTGTAGCTGTATCATAAATAACGTGTAGCCTACGTCACATTAATGAGGATAACCTGATTCTATTTTATCTGTCCACAAATTTCCAAATGCTGCACGTAACCTTTAATAACAAGGCAAAACTAATGTTATAAAATGTAACTATCCCAACCCCCTGTTTGTGTTCAGTGTTATTCAAACGAGGCATCTGATGATAAACTATATGTTCTGAAATGCAGATGACAGTAGACGTTGCCGTACGTATTGAAAATGTACTGTAGGCATGAGTTGCAGCTTCATTTATGTACAGTATTAAACTAGTTACCTAGTAACCTTTAATAACAAGGCAAAACTAATGTTATAAAATGTAACTATCCGAACCCCCTGTTTGTGTTCAGTGTTATTCAAACGAGGCATCTGATGATAAACTATATATGTTCTGAAATGCAGATGACAGTAGACGTTGCCGTATGTATTGAAAATGTACTGTAGGCATGAGTTGCAGCTTCATTTATGTACAGTATTAAACTAGTTACTTTGACATTGTTTATTGGAAAGTTAATAAGGATGTAGAATGGGATAAACTGTTTCTTATGAGAGAGTGGCCCTTTAAGGAAATTAAGCACCTGGCAGCAGGAGACTTACACCTCTGATTCTGTGCTTGAAACTGTTGTTTTGTTTGTATTTATCATTGCTGCTGCTATAGCAGCCACCTGTTACCTACAACTGCAACAGAACAGGTGGACATAATATTAATTTAAATTACATAACAACTATTTGTATTATGACTACCAGGGCTCTTGTTATTTAACACCGGGAAAATGCTAATATGTTGAGGAGCTAGCAGGAAGAACTAATGGGATAGGTGACATAACACCTGTTGTGCATGTATCATGCTAAAATAATATTGTTACGTCTCCGTTTGTTAATTAATTTTTCCGTAAATTCTTTCCAACTAAACTTTAGCGACACAAGTCCTTTCTTAAATAAAACTGGTTTATTCTTTCTGAATATAACTTTACGATACACTTAATTTCAACATTCGCGCTAAAACAAATGCTATAACAACGAACGTTAACTTCAACAATACTCTCTGACTGCAGATCAATTACTCACTACCTACACATTGTCCCATCACGTTGTGACCATCTTATATATATACCAGACTACCCCCAATCTAGTAATCTCAGCTAGTAATCTAGCAAAGATAAAACACAAATAATATAATTTGGTT